ATGGTTGTCGTGCATCGCCTCCACACCGGAGCTGCTGTTCACACTGCTCGAAATGAGCTACCAGTTTCAACTGACTCACATGGACAGAAGATCCGGTGTGGAGGCGATGCACGACAACCATTCTGAACAGAATTGGGCAAACAATTTGCCGATCACCTGATTGTAGATAATTTGATGGAAACCGCAGATGGCAGAGCAGACATTTGATACTTTGGTTGCCCTCTCTTCGCGATCCAATTTGATGTGATCTATGAGTTCAACTTCTTCCAGACAGGGTGGAATGGTGCTCAACAGGTCCCGTACAAACGTATCCATAAATGCGGATGTTTGCCACACGGGAGTACGGCCCGTCCGGCAGGCATCCATCTCTGCATGTTGGGTATGGTTTCGCTCGAGGGTTAAGCGAAAGTATGTTATGCACAACTCGGTGCATGTTTGGATAGATTCCTGAAAGATGAGGAGGAAATAGGAGAAAATCGGGGGCAATGCAGATCGACGAGAAACGCAATGATTCCCGTACACGTCACGCAACGTTTTGTTTGTAAACAGAATGTGTTTTCGTTTTAGGTGCTAGCCAACAGGAGATTCGAAACACGAGCTATTACCTGTTCATTCAAAGATTCAGTTAGAAAAGAAGCCTTATATTGAAACAAAAGAGGACGCTGTTGTTCTCTTCTCGAAGTTAAGCAGAAAAAGATGGTTCAAAAAGGATGAAGAGCATCCTGCCCGAGCACAACAAACACTTGGATAGAAAACAGAAATCGATGGTGACTGAGACTAGAGACGTTTTATAAAAAAACTAAAATCGAATACAATGTCCTCAAGTAATTGCCCAAACAAGTGGATTTGAACAATTAGCTTATCATCAGGAGAATTCGCACGGCTATAGGGAGAGACAATTTCCATATTAACTACTGGTGTGGCATCTTGGTGTGTCGGGTTGGTAATTAAATGTTAGACGCTCACAGCTGTAGCGCAACCGATAGAGCATACATTTATAGCATAAAGTCGTAGATGGTATCCATGCATTCGTTCGATGAAATCTGTTTCGAATGCAGTTTTCTTCCTAGACGATTTATAATGTTCATAATTTTATCGTAAACCTCAAACCCGTTGCCCCACGGAATTCAGCTAAAATTTGTGCTCAAATCTTAAGTGTCATTGATTTATCACGAAAGACTTCACGTAGATAGACGATTATGGCAAGGAAGAGCGATTCAATTTAACATGATTCTTGCTATTTGAGATAAAGCATACCTATACGAACGTTATCACACAAAACATGTGAATGGTCAAAGCATAGGTTTACGATATTCCAAGTGGAACTAAAGGCGAGCGACAACTTTCATAACAATGTGCGATGACGCTTCGTCAATGCGAGATTTTTTGGCTTGCGTGACGAAACAAGGGTTTTTAACCCCAAAATAATAGTCTGCAATCCTTCCAGAAGAAAGAACACTGGCTCTGTTTCATTCACCTTTGAAAACGTGCGCAAAACAACTCGTACCTTGTATGAAAGAGTATCTATCATAAGATCACAAAGAGATCCTTTGAGGGATACCGTAAACATAACGAAAGACGATGATTTGATAGGGGTATATAATTCAACGTTATAACGTTGGCATCAGCTTTGTAAAATACTGCCGCGATAATCCTTGTCCGAATTCGTCGACCAATGTGAGGATGAAACTCAACATACAGGCACATTTATGGCCTCCAAGGTTTTTCCTTATTATTGAGAACAAATGGGTGTGTACGTGTGGGCAACAAAAATACGACAGAATGATTTGTTAGGTGTAGGGATGTGCAATATGCGAATCTAACGACCCCTCACCCGTCTCATCTTTCATGTTTATAATTAAAATAACCTAAAATACTACCAGATGAGTTCCTCATGGAAAAAAGTCAGTACCAGTCATTAATCATTCTCACAGCTAACCTGTGTTCATCCCCGCCGACTGCAGCGTATTATCAGCTTGGGATCAGCGATACAAAGTCCTATGGAAGGTTAATGATTTTGTTGTCAGTAAAAACGGTGCACCGGCCTGAGAGGTCTTTTCTATGAAACGTCGAGGGTATGGATTTTACCGATCTAAACGAGACCTACAGGTCATAGTAAAAAATCGAAAATGCTGCGGTCACCCTTTGCATGTGGACGAGATTTTCTATGCCGTGAATTTTCTCGTGAAATATTTTAGATACCGTTCAGCATAGCTAATTAAAAGTTTTGAAATACCTCAGAGGTACAATGCAGATATTTATTATTCAGTCATAGAACAAGGATCTATGTTGTGGATGAACTTGAGGCCTGTAGGTTTGCAAATAAATTCGTCTGCTGATAATCTCCAATTATTTTTGTGAACTATCCAAATCCGAACGAGTGAAACAAAGGAGTAAAATATCTGGTCCATGTTGATAACGATGATGAGGATATTTCACAAAAGAATGCTGTAATTAAACCAAATCTGTCACCTATGGGGGCTAGTTACTACTGATTAAACTAATTAGTAGCACAATACAAGAGTTTGAAAAATATCACCTTTCCTATAACGTCTTGAGGCCTCAGGTGGCACTGAGAAACAGACTAGGAAAGCATTTGTCACGAGAGAGACAAATGAATGCTCAGGTTCGAATGATGTGATTGTTTCAAAATTGTTCTGCTTTCCCCATTGCGTGCTTCATTGCCGAAAGACCCAATAACTCACTCTAACACGACACACGTGGATGTAATTTGCTGGCGGATTTCTGTTAGCTGTTGTAAGCTGCTTTCATTCGGTCAACTTGTACTCAGTTCAGACAGTTATGTTCACGATGACCTTGAACATTCCAGGATCAGCATAAGAGTTCAGAACACGCTACCGTAATTGTGATAATTGGTATGCGAGGTGTGCATGTGGAATTCGAGCGGGAGTTTGTGGATGAATGGGAACTTAAAGACACGAAGTCACGTGGTTTTGCGTTTATGAATTTTACCTGCTTTAGTGGGGCAAACTACAGGAGTGGAACGATGGGACATTTATCCGATAAACTCAAAACCAGGCGAAATAACGTCCCTAAATTTTGTTTCACGCAATCACTCCATCACAAACACACACATGGCACAAACAAATTGCCACAAACAAATCATCTCATTCTGAGTTCTTCATTCCTCCTCGCTTATGTATCTCCTCACATCAAATGTTTGGTCTGCTATAAAAACTGCTGTATTTACCCAGTCGGTGAAGCACCGAAAACGAATTTGTTTACCAACCTGTGTTCTCGGTAATATTTTCCCATACTGGTCCCGGAGTGTTCAAGTTTACCACGGATAATAATACACCGACTATGAGCATAAGTGTTTGTACTGCACACGAGTCAACTGAATGGGATCAGCGTAAAAAACTTTACAACAGAGAACTACAAGAGATATGAATACAAGAAGGCGCAGCAAAGTGAGTATTTTGGTTTTCCAACAGAGAAATGGTTCCCAATGAAATATAACAATGTTCACTAGGGATCAAAAAGAAATGTGTTAAGCATATCGATTATCAAAGGGAAAAAACCTGATCAAATCAGATCTCNAGATCTCTACAAAACACAGTCGAATCAGATAGGGATTAGGGAAAATAATAGAGGTCGGTCGAATGGATCACAGGAACGGGAAAACATCATTGCTTTCCCCAATTGGTGATCGGCAGGTTCGCGGGTCACTGTGTTCAATATCACGCCTACCCTGTTGGGGCCTTACGCGAGTCAACAATCCACACCCCAGGGTTTAAGGTTGCCGATTACTACGAGTGAACAGTAGGTCCGTGTGATCAAGGAGTTTACCATACTCGGTTGTTTATCACACAAAATGACGACATGATGAAAATTGGTGCATATTTAGCTTACCTGGTTAACGCGATGGTCTTCCAGAACAGGAAACTGAATACGAGTAAAAATTACGTACAAAGCATAAACAAAAATACTCCTGTCCATCAACATTTTCAACATTTGCCTCAGCACCTCCAAAAACCTAATGAAATTATATTTATCTGAAAATTTCTGTTCTCAAAAACCTTTCATATCCCAACTGATCTTTGTATGAACGTAAAAGAGAGCAAATTTGGTAACACTATGTTTTTGCTGTTTTCTGGCCTCTCACAATCGGTTAGATGGCGTGTTCAGACTTAACAACTGCATTCTGATCACAAGTTCCACACTAGGATTCATCTACAAGCTGTGAACATGATCAAATACGAGTTTGCTAACCCAGAAAACAAACCACCCTCAAAATGATCCGCACCACTCATACACGACTGCATCCTCCCACGACTTATTAGACTCAAAGTTACTAGGGGTTGCATGTTCTTCCTCCATAGAATACACAATTAAAAGTTGTTCAGAAATCTGATGAGCAGTTGGCCATTGATTGATCACGACTGTTCATCGTTTTGCCCATTCACAGGGTGTTTCACAATTTTGCTTTGCCAACCCTTTACAAGATAACTTCTTATCTTGCCCTACTCTCAAAACACCGTTGTAGCTCTACGCCCTATTCTATTCCCCGCAGGACGGGCGATCCACTGATTCTAATCATCCTTCTCCAAACTTCATCGTTTGTTTGTTCGTTTAAGCACATACTAGGAGACCACTGAATTTGCGTTACGATTTGGTTATTGCTCATCTTAAGGTAAGATGGGAATCATCGGGAGTGAGAAAGAGATTGAGAGAGAGAGAAAATGTGTTGTGTCTCCCTTCGATGCAGTTCGGAAGATTCTCATTCAAGGCGCCAAGTGAGCCAACTTGCATTGGTAATCCTCAATGTGAGCTGTTTGACACAGCATTAACAAACACGAAGAATATAGGACGATTCAGTGGATATGCACACTACGGGTGAATAGTACTGCTAGACTAGCGGTCTTCCTGCGAATGAGGAGTGAGTTTAAAGGATGGTCGGTTCAGATCAATATCATGTATCTCATACCACTCGCCATATGTACTGAAGAGTCAAATGTGACTTTAAGGAATATATTTTGATAAATTCCAAGCTTGTTATAGTGGTTTGTTAACTAGCGAAAATGACTCCACGAGTGTCCCAGTCATTACTCATTTCACTTTCTTTCCAGTGACAGGAAATGCTAAATTTGCACCTTTACAAAACAGTGTCTTTGTTGAAATAAGGTAGCATCAGTTATGCTATAGACAACAATGTCCCACCCCCTTTTTATCTCCGCTAGACAAGGTACGGCCCAAGCCATATTTCTCT